GTTAGTATAGGTTTCCATGCATCAAACCCTGTTCGGATAACAAGCGCAATTACACAGGGCAATGTTCTAGGTCCACTATTATGCTTTTTATACATCAGTAACATTTGTGACGTTATTAAACATAGTAGACCTTTCCTGTTTTCTGATGACATCAAAATAGTTTGCAGTTCACTCAGGAAAATAGTATCGTTCCTGTTTGAGAGATTCCAGGATGACACTCATAACGTTCAGTTATCGTGTGACGAGTGAAGATGAAGTTGAACTTTGAAAAATGTGGAGTGCTGTACTTTAAGAACATCCACATACAATATTCATTCTCCTCGCCTGAACCTAAATAAGATTTCAGTTCAAAATATTCTCCAGAGTTTAGCTTCACAGAGTATATCTACTTACAGGCCTCAACAGTAGAAACACTCCATGGATTTTCATTCCGAAACTTTAGAACTCAAGAATCTATAGTTCTCCTCTACTGGATATGCATAGGACTGTTACCCGAACGTTTTCCCTCTGTCATGGACAGTGTCTCAATAAAAACACAGGTGCTATACAGAAAGATTATAAAGGCCGTTAACTAGAAGACCAGCAAGTGAAAATCTCTGCGTTTCTCACTATGAGAGATGTACTATGTTTCACTTCAAAGATTTGTAGGCCGAAAGTGTAGAGTTTTTTTTAGAGATTACTTTTGGGATAGCGAAAGGGCTTATCTATTTCCCAAACAGTGACTTGATATAAGGCTCATCTACACCCAGCTGGAATTAGGAACAGTTCTATCCCTTTTAAATACATATCTTACGCAGTGGTTTAGAAGCAGTCTGTAACTAATTAAAACTCGAAGATATTATACACCACTCCTTTGACCCTTACTGTTAGCTCCACAAATCCACGTATTCCTCCTTCACCTCTTAAAGTTCTGTTGAGAACGAGATGTGCGTTTGACTGTAAACTGTTGATTGACAATACGATTACAATGGGTGCCTTAATCTATGAGAATAATTGTTTCAGTACTTTCACAATTGATTACATAATTAGTTATATTAAATGTGCCTTCAGCTAAGGTCTCAAAAATGGATGACACTAAATGCCTAGCTAAATCAATCTCATTAGACAGTTCCAGGCAACCAGAATCTGTTCTCATTCATTTATAATAAAAACGAAAGTGAAAAGAAAAAAACTTGTCAAAACCTCATCGTTTGCTGACAGACTGTTTGACAGAACAGTAAAGGCAGCTATGAAACAATGAAATCACAGTTTCATATAAGAACAACAACAAATATCGTGCATTGAAACTAATTCACTTCAGTTTACATACTCTAAATCTGCACATAAGCACTAAATTTGAAATTTGTATGCAGTTCAGTGGTTTAAGACGTCAGTACCAATTACAATCTATGTGGTATAGTTCAAAAGTAAAATTAGCACAAAATAGGTCCTTTCACATCTGTGTATCAGAATACACATGAGGGGAAAAAACAATAAGGTTCATGACCTAATTAAACAAGACATGGAAAAAATGTACCAAATGTCATTATGACCAGTATCAACAATGTATCTATGACAAACTAGAAAAAAATTAAAGTCTACTCTAAAGTGATATTGATTCTACTCAAGTTTGCCTAAGCATTTGCTACTAAAAACACCTAAAACCCAATTTATGTGTTTAGAAAGAAGTTATCAGTCTTTCCTTGCCCTGGTAATTGGATGTATTTGCTCTCTCTTTTGCTTGATTACATAATCTTTAGCTTTAACCTCTCTTGCCTTTGATATAATGTAACTTTGATTGTCTCTTGTTTCTTGTTCACCTCTCGTGTTTATTACGTAACTCTTTTACCACTGTATCCAAACATTTATTCTTGTTTAAACTTGAACGCTGTGGATATACACTTTATAGGTGTAATTTATGAGCACTTTTTATTGAAATTGGAGTCTTCCGCCAAATGACATAATGTAACGTTTGGAAGTATGTTAAAATTCTTCTGTGCCTAAACTTAATAATTTCTTTAAGCTGTACGTAGTTGATGAGAAGCCAATAAAATAAATAATGGCACCATCTTACTCTGCACAAATTGTTGTCCTTGCTTTATTCAAATATAATTTCAGTTACTAAAACAACAGTGGTACGACAGTAAAATTATTGAAACAATTGTATATTAGTTACGTGTTTGCTTCTCAGATATTTTGAAATACAAAACTGTCTGAATACACCTAACTAGATTTTTGTATTGGACTACATTTAATATTACACAGTGATACAGTATAAATAAGTGGATGATGTTTTGATCATACTCACAGATTACTAAATTACTTTTTACAGTCTTAATACAATCTGTTTTTTTATTGCAATTATCCGTATATTTGAGACTTTTGATGCATCGTTTCGTTTGCACATATCTGGTGTGGAATCAATGAACAAAGATTTGGAGAATAACTTCTTCTTCCACTTGACTCTACACTACATTTTAGTAATTTTACTCTGTCCATGCTGTTGTGTGATTACATGGGTGGACTATTTTCAAGGATATCCAACTTAGAGGCTTCGACCCTACTATGTCTTTAGAAAGAAGAGAACACGAAGTTCAGCAAAGATGGCGATCTTTTCGGTGATTTCATTCTCAAAAGCTGTACAATCGCATTTATATAGATTATTTTACATGGATACAATTATTATTTGTTTAATTCCACATAGTAACGAAGGTGACAATAATTTTCAACTTCATATATGAAAGTTTGAAGGTACGAATATAGATTACAAGGGGCTTAGAGACAAGATTTCATAGGATTAGAAATGCGATTGTACAGCTTTTGAGAATGAAATCGCCGAAAAGATATCTTTGCTGAACTTCGTGTTATCTTTTTCCTACTATGTCTGAATTCCTGTTCTGATAAACTAAGTGGTTCTGATCTACTAGTGTGATCTACGCAATGGATGCCGCAGCCATTAAACGTTATTTGGTAAATTAAACTATTTTCTCTAATTGTGTCTATCGACAAAGTATATCATCAAGTGAACTGATTGGTTTAGCTGAAGCCTAATTTAAAACTTATTTAGAATCCTATATAGGAATTCTGGTATCGTTTAGGACACTGGGGAAGATTATTGAGTCTCTTATTAACAATTTGGTGAGTCCAGTTGCATTATATCTGCTCTCACAGACGTCTAACACTTTTATATCAAATCTTCTACAAACCAAGCAGCTTCCCCAGAGCCACACATCGTGTAAACATTCTATATCCTAATGCTTACATTGAAAAAAGACACATAGGTAAACTGGCTTCCCGAAGGCTTTCACCTACCGGCGATTTCAACCTGCGAACTTAGAAGTCTTCCCGATTCTAGAGATAACCGTTTCATCCTTGTTTGGGAATCATCGGCATTAGAATTTAGTATTCATGGACTATTGAGTCGGTTCCCACTGGCTGAATGGTATACGAGCGCGCCTTGTAACTGGGATGTATTGAGTTCTAACCCCAGTTGGTGTGTACTGCCAATGATTCCCAGACTAGGGTGAAACAGCTGTCCATTACTCCTGGTTTTCAATGGTTCTCTAACTATATATGCTAATAAAACGAATTCTTGAATTCAGCTGTTGCATCAGCACCGGTAATTCATAAAAGAGTGAAATTGTCGGGTGCATTAACCTTTCAGCCTGCCTGTGAAGTTGCAACAGTCAGTTTAGATTGAAGACTAAAAATTCTAAGTACATATACAGAAGATTTATTCGATTTTCTAGATGTAACCGTATCTACAATCTAATCAACATATTCAAATGATTGCATATACTGTCAAACAGTATGTTCTGCTTTACAATATGAACATGGAGTTTTGTGAAACCACGACAGGGAATGCATGTATTGTCTAAGATGAAGAAGGCGATCAACATTTTCACTTACTAACTTACCTAAGGTAACTGGAAACATGCATTGCACATGCATGTACTCATCACAGTCAAACAGTACAAGTAGGATAGGACTAGAAGAAAGTGAAGTATAGCTATACGAATACCACATAGTAGTGTGGTGGTGTGATACGGACAATGTGTGCCAACGGAATGTCATTCTCACATATTCCCATAGTTCATTTCCGCATTAGCAACAGAATACGATATATCTATTTGAATATTCTATTTCATGTCGTTTGATGTAAACTGAGGTCGTACGCTAAGTGATTGGTTAACGAATATAAACTGTAGATATATAAACAGCAGTTTGATCAATGAAAAATATACCTTGGCTTCCATGTCTTTCCTTCTCTTGTTACAGCGGTAGTGTGGTGAGAGCTGTCTGCTAGCCAAAGCTGGTAGACAGCAATTTACATCAATGTTTACGTCTGAAGTCTTGGTCATGAGAAAAAACAATAAAGCCTAACCTTGAGGAACTCAACGACCAACCACAGAAGACTTAGCATGGGCGGATACAATTCCCAAATATATCACCGGACTGTCTAAGAAACGGCTACAAAGAAATGACAGAATAACCTTCAGGAGGAAAACAACAAATCAGATGTTGCTTCTCTGCTAAAAATAACGAGTAGTAATGTACATAAATATCTGCAAATATCGGTTGATTTTCTCAATAAACGATATGTTGGCTTTTGTCGTTACAGTAGTAATGGTAGGAATAATACATGACGTTACTGGTCATGGGTCTAAACGATGCATCTTAGTCTGGCTAAGTTCCCACTACATGACCACAGAAACCTACAATTCAAGATGATATTATATGTATATGAATGTATCTTAGAATTGGCACAAGCTGGTATAAATGGATTCATAATTTGAATTTTTCAACTTAGGTAGTATGTATATATCAAATATTTAATTATTTATTTGTTCAAATATCTTAACAATGCGAAATTAAAAGGAAGAGTTGTAATCACCACAACCAACATTAACAACAAAATGGAAGAGAAGAAAAGTTAAACATATGAGCAGACTAAAAACAACAATCAGTTATGACCAACAAACAACACGACCTATGAAATGCATATATATATATATATATATATATATATATATATATATATACATTTATTTACTGATGTTTGTATATAAGAATAATAAAATAAGACGAAGAGCAGGGGAAGAGAACACTTTTCTACATACAAGTGAACTTAATTAAAGACAACACTAATCACAACAAGAAATAGCATTACACATATCACAATATTACAATAATCTATCTACATAGGCACACGCACACATACACAAATACTACACACTAGAATAAAACACATTAAAGCTTTATACAATGTTTAATGCAAGTGGAAAGATTCTGATCACATACGTCACAGTTGGTTGTTTGTTTGTTTGTTATTTCTAATTGAGAAGATTGGAGAATATGTTATCACTAAATGCTGATATACAAACACATGTGTACATGATGTGAGTTCAGAAAACTAACTATTCAACGTAAACATAAACAGTAGTAATAATAAAACACTGTGTAATGTTAATGTAAAAGAAACAGAAAAAATTATTTTCTATTCTGTATAAAAAAGCAAAAAAAAATGACTAGACTGTTCTTTCTGTCGCCCTCCTTCGACACCTCATTTCAATGACAGCAAGGTTGTAGAGGAGGTGGTAATACAGAGGTTGGTGAAAGCTGAAAGATATTCAATCGGCTTGAGCACTAACAGATATTGTGGTCTCCGACTTGTAACCTTTAGAAAACACAAAAAAAGTGAAATGAAAATAAAACTGGTGGAAATAAGGCTAAGGTGAGTCGGTGGCACAGTGGTAGAATGATCGCCAACCATGCACATGGTCCGGGGTTCGAATCCCGGCCGACGAACTCCTTTACCTCGCCAAGCCAGTAATAAGACTGGTAAAGAGGGAAGGTTGAGCATGAGGCTAGCAACCCCATTCTGTAAAAATAATCACCACTGCTACAGAAACTTCAAGCCTCTAGCTTGAAGCCCTATGTTCCACTGGGAACGTAAAGAAATATTAAAAAAACTTGAATTCTAACTGTCAAACCCCGACATTTCCACAAAGTTTAACTAACAAGGCTTGTATAGCAGGACAAAATAGATAGACCATATTCCACTATCCATTACCAGTTGCTCAAACAAAATAAACGTGTATACAGTTGGCAAATTACTACCTTATAGGATTACTAAATACTCCATTCTTTAACGATACCGTGCAGCATGCTTAACAGATAAAACAGACAACAGATTCATTTTGATGAAACTGTTTCAATCTCTACAAAGTGAATAAAACACAACATCATTTTATACCTTCTCGTTTAAACACATGAAGCGTATACTGTATCTTCTTTATGTAGACATGGTTTTTACAACCTGACCATTCATGAGACAGTTTTGATACTTCGAGTGGCGTATAAATTATAAACCTCCTAATAACTTCCATTTTACTTTATTCCTCTTGGTCGAACCACATGGACTTTGACCACTTATTCTTCGACATCTTACCGATCTATGAGTGCCTAGTGGGGAAAGCGTCGACCGGAAGCATCTAATCGCTGATCCTGCAGTGAAACTATACTACTGACAAAAATAATAACACTTAGTATAGTCGAATGAAAATACTCAACAAGAAACATAAACCAGTGTGAATCAGTACTAAACCTTTTTTAAATTTAAAACAATTAGTTCCCTTTATGAATTTATATAAAGCAATAGAAGACGTAATTTGTCTGAATCGTGTAATGTATTTGCGCCCACAACACATTTCGAACAATCTGATCACACACGGACTTGCCATAGGAATATATATGGAATTAATAAAGAAGTAAGAGGTGAGAAAATATACTTAGGTCAAGTTAAAAGGACATATTCAAGGTCAAAATAACAATGAAGACCACTAAACTAAATAGCAGAGGTAATAGTACATCTGCTATGGTATCAAAACAAAATTTACCAAGGAAGGTTTAATGTGATGACGAATTGTTTTTGAACGCATAAAGGTGACTTGAACTTTCTAATTGCTAGGGCTTCTACGAACAAATTACGTCTTTTTATTGCTTTATAAATTTGTTTTTATTCACTAACTGAATGCGTATGTTATTTATCACATATTGTGGAACTATAAATTATTGACTGCAGTCATTCAAATTCCAACCAGTGTGATGTAGTTACGAATTCTTATCTAAGTATGATCATAAGCTCTGGACAAATGCATGAGTAGTTGTTAAGTATTACATTTCTACATTGCAATATTTTCTTATCTATTTTGACACAATTTTTATTCTCTGCCCTAATAAAATAAACATTGATTGAAGCGCATAACGGAGATGAATTGTCGGATTACAGATTCTATAGTGTAAACTTTATTGTTTCTTTTAACAACGAGGATGTCCTCTTAACTAATCTAATTCGCAATTAACGCGTAGTTCGACGTGGAATTTCATCCCATTGTTTCCTAAAGAAAAACTACACGAATATCAAGCTAGCTACCTGGGGGATTCCTTGATTTTCAATCTATAGAATTCAAAGTGAAATTTCACCACATTTTCCTCCATGTAACTAATCATTCTGCACCAACTACCATTAAGCAGTGTCTTTAGTAGAGAGAATTCTAGTCTTTATCAAGGTGTAGTAAGTGAATTAAACAAAACTTTTATGAATAAGAGCTTCATCAAGAGATTCGGGGTATGTTTATATATGTGTTTGTATTCATTTGTCATAAATAAGGACTGTCCAACAGTTCCAGACTACGAGGAAACAGTTGACTAGTGTTATTTAGTTTATAAGGATTCTCTAGTTGATATCGATTCACGATAAATTTCAACTGAAAAGCTAACTTCAATTGTATAATGCATGTTTAACGCATACTGAATAACTATAGCTATAGCCAATTCATAATGTCTTTATTATTATTAGAATTCAGCTACATGGGATATATATTTTTAAAGTATTAGGTTATAAGCTCCATTTATTGTAAGAAAGCTGCTGATAATGAGAAACTGACCACTCTGTAGTTAATGTAGCAGGATACTGAGCCGGAACCCACTGGTTGAAAGTCAAATGTTTAAGTTAGTGAGTCGTGTCTCCACAGTTCACAACAATGTACTACTTTATCTTTACTAGTTTACACACAATTTGGTAAAACAGTTTCAGTTTATAGATTAAACTCATCTCTCACAATATTTATTTGGTTGCTGAATTAACGTAAGTATGATGGCATTCAAACAGTATACTTCTATGCTTGGTTTCACTTGCATTCTTATGAGTGATTAAACGGGTTATGTGACACTTATAATACAGTAAATCTACCGCCGTTTAAAGATGGCGGCGAGATCCTCTTCAGGACCTTGACTGGATTGTTCAAGAAAGTATGAGAAAGTGAGAATGTTCCATCAGTGTGGGACGAAGCCATCATCGTGTCCACTTTTAAAAATTGCAGAAGTGACACATACGAAAATCATACGGATATTAGTCTGCTACCAGTTGTGTCTTAAATATTGGCTGTCGTCTTGCTTCGCTCCTAAGGAACTGATTTGCAAGGAGTAGACTGGGTTTTGTTCAGGCTGTGGGTGCATTGGTTATGTGTTCACTCTTCGTCAGTGGCTGCGACACTGTCGCACGTATTGCAATCCAACAATCGTTGCGTTTCTTTATATTGGGGCTGCTTCCAATTCGGTGGATAGAACTGTTTTCTGGAACTGTCTGTTAGAGAGGGGTGTACCTGAGAAGTTTGTTAACATCCTGAAAGCCCTATACAAAAACATCATGTAGAGTGAGGTGTTCCCAACCAACAGAGGGATTAGACAGAGTTGAACAGTCTCGGCATTTCTCCGTAACTTTGCCATCTATGACATTCTGGGGTCAGCTCTGGAGAACTGGAGTTGTTGTGGTGCAGAACTGCTTCTTGCAGAAAAACCTTCTGACCTCGAGTATGCAGACGCTATCGCCTTAATGTGCGATAGCAAACAGGCTGCCCAAATCGCACTTAATCAGCTGGTGATTAGTATCTGTAAGTATAGCATATGCTTTAAGCCGTCTAAGGGAGAAGTACTGTTGCAAGATTGGCAGGAACCCGTGTCTGAACTCACCCTTGCAAGTAAACCGACTGAATTTGCCGAAAAGTCCGTGTATCTAGGTAACTGTGTGAGTGTTGGTGGAGGTTTGACAGATGACATCTCTAACGGTATAGTGAAAGCTAGGGTGGCATAGGCCAATTTGGGCCACTTCTGACACCGTCACCATGTAAGTCGAGCTGTCAAAGGTAGGGTTTACAACGCTTCGATGCTCACAATCTTGCTCCAGCGTCTGTGAAACCTGGTCTCTCCAAGCTCAGGATGTGAAGCGACTCTGAATTGTTTCCGTCCGACAACATCGTCGTGTGAGTAATTCTGAGGCCCGTCAGTGTGTGTCTGGGCACTGTAGAGGTCACCATTTGTTGAGTCGTCATCTAGGAACACCAGATTTGGTGGCTTGGACATATGCTACGAATGTCATCCTAGAGGCTTCCATGACGGTCCCCGTCCGCTAACCCTCAGACTGGATACGAAAAGCGGAGAGGTGGTCAGTCTATGACTTGGCATTATAGGATGAAGAATATATGTAATTGGTTAGCATTATTTGGTACATCACAACTCTCTGGTTGGTGTCCAAAAGATAGTTCGAATCGGTGACTTTAAACGTTATCAGATATGGTCAAGAATCTCAATCAATCACGAACATGATGTAACTTCTTTCTTCTCTTTTTGAAAGTACCATGAATTAACAAATGTTGAGTGATCTCGAAAAATATGCTTTCTTGCTTTCTGGATGTTGTCCATCATTTATCCTCCGCTTACTTCTTTTATATACTGTTGTTTCATTATAAGGGTATGGCAGGTCTGCTAATGTTCAAATTATACTAGTTCTGTGTCTTAAATATATAAATAATAACGCAATCAAAGACAATAAATACCATGTTATCAAATCAAACGTATTTAAGTTAGATCACCAATTGACATTAGTTATAGAATCATTGGAAGCCAGGCGGAAATAAACACTTGTTTCTTCCTAGCCTGAGACTTTCCATCAGTATGCAACCAAAATCTTCGGATTACGAGATGAGTCTGTCAACCATTCAGAGAATAAGACAGAGTCCAATGGTTCATAAACTTTGACTTCAGACAATCTGTGATACGTAACGCCACCGCCAGTCATTTTCATCGGTGGTTACGACTGTCCACTAAAACTCCAGGCATTCCATCCCGTATTTAGTCACTAATGTGCAGTAGATTGATTTCCAAGTAATAGTCCTCAGGGATCTGTCTGATTCCAAGTTAGATCACAAGTTAACATAAACTGGTGAACCACTGAAAAGTATAAAGACCTTCACTTGTATCCCCCGTAGTGTCACGGATGTATACTTCCGAGGGGTTCAAAACTAAGGCGAAACAGCTATCGAGTACATTATGTTTCACAGTGATCCTCTAAATGATTTCGGTTTATGATGAAATCCAACTTGAAATCAATCGAATCTTAGAGATCCAAAACTTGAAAATAGATCACACTTTACCAAGACCATAGAAACATCTACAGGTGAATGTGAAATTAAACTCATGATAAACACCTTGAAAGTTGTCAGATTCAAAAAATGGACCAATGATTACATTGGCCTACTAGCATGTTTGAATTTAACTTTCGATTATTTATCAACGAAATCGTCTTCAGACTTGGCTGTACAGTCGTATTTATACTTACAAAAAATATACAGTGGTCTATTATTGATTAATAAGGGGTGACACAATTGATGTAATTACTTAGAAGTGGCTTTAGAAGTAAAAATTAAAAGTTGTAAATTATGTAGTACACTGTATACAGAAAAAGTATGTCCAGTCTCTTATTCTACTTTGGTCTTAACCTCTTCATTAGTCGGTCCCTGCAAGAAATTTTGATTTTTATCTTTTCTTTTTTAATTTCCAGTTTTACTTTTAGTTTGCTTTTGCCTTAATAATTAATTCACTATTATAACTCTCATATGCTTCTTTTGTACATTTCACACCCTCTTCATACTTGTTAAATTGACACTCAAATACCAGCTTTATTCTCACTCAATAGCAATTTTAACTTTATAAAAATTTCTACCTGTGTGCCGTTGAGTACCACGTGATTTACAACTTTTAATTCTTTTCACTTCCAAAGCCACTTCTGAGTAAATTATATCAATCATGTCAACCCCTCCCCCCCCCATATTACTCAATAATAGACCACTATACATTCTTCTAAGTATAAATACAACTGTACAGCCAAGTCTGAAGATGATTTCGTGGATAAAGAAAATTTTCTTCGCTGAATTTGTCTTTTATTTTCTTCATGACTCAATGGGCATTTTCGGTGATTTTCTATAATTTGTCTAAGTTTAATGTTCATTCAGTGCACATATTTCATGACTGTTATAAATAAATCTATGACATTCTACCTTTAAGTACCAAACAAAACAAATCACATTTAATTGGTGAATGTTGACTAGCAGTGGAATCCAGGATGCGCATTTCTTCCTATTTGGAACTCATCATATGGATGTACCTTCATTTCTCAGTGAGTGATTATGTTCCCACTGAGGCTCGAACCCAGTGCCCATAGTTTCAAATGCCAAAGCGTTATCCACTAGGGCCACGAGAGCCACCTCCTATGCAACGGGTCATATTAATTTAATTGAATTTTTGATTCCGCTGCTAGTCACCATCCACCAATTAAATACTAATTAAATGCCCAGATATAGTCGAAGCATCTGCACAGGAAACCGAGATGTCAACCTGAGACCGAGCACTTCGGTCTAATCAATCGACGGGAAAATCAAAAATTCAACTAAATTAATATAACATGTTGCACAAGAGGTGGCTCTCGTGGCCCTAGTGGATAACGCTTTGGCATTTGAAACTATGGGTACTGGGTTCGAGCCTCAGTGGGAACATAATCACTCACTGAGAAATGCAGGTACATCCATATGATGAGTCCCAAATAGGAAGAAATGCGCATCCTGGATTCCACTGCTAACCACCATCCACCAATTAAATACTAATTAAACGCCCAGACATAGTCGAAGCATCTGCACAGGAAACCGAGATGTCAACCTGAGACCGAGCACTTCGGTCTAATCAATCGACGGGAAAATCAAAAATTCAATTTAAAAAAAAATCGTATATAATGGGGAAAAAACGATAGATATATGCATCATACAATACCTACCGTATGGTAATATCCATTTTAATTTCGGCCAACGAGAACATACAGGATCAAGGATAAAATTCAACTGAAGTAGTTCATCCAGTCGGGAAGTAAATTTTTGGTAAGTTCTTAATGCACACTGTGATATTACACTAGATAAGTCAAAAATTCTACTTAGAATAATTGATGACTTATATGCAATTTTTGGTAAGACTATATATTCACCAGGAAAATTAGCATTATTATTATTACTATTGGTAGTATTACTATTATCTTGTTGTAATCCACTCGAAGTAATGATTCCTGCTTCTTCAGGTACTGCTTCATCGACTGGTACTAAAGAATTACTATTTGATGTATTTGACAAATCATATTCATATTTTGCAGATAATGTACCGCATGATAATGGTATATGCACAGCAATAATTGGGCTTAATGCAATACGCCAACGAAATGACCAAGGCAGAAAACAAGCCAATGATAAACCAATTAATATATGCCATGTACTATGCGATTTTGTATACTCTTTTGGTGATTGTCCATTGAAGAACATGGAAGCGCCAATGCATGCAAACAATACACCGGGAATGAATCCAACTATCCACCATTGAATTGGTGGGAAAAGTGCTTTTAGTTTGTAACAGATATTGATCTAGAAAAAGATAGACAAGTAAACTTGATGAATTCAATGCTTACTAACTTACAAATATAAATACTAAGGTATGTCTTAACTCAGCTGGTAGTGCACTAGACTGGTAGCTAGGAGGTCTCTGGTCCAAATCTTGGCACGATTCTGATTTTAATTTCACCTTCAATCCACACTGATCATAAAAATACACACATACCATTGAAGCTTTTGAAAGCATTATAAGACATCTGTTGAGTGTTACCAATAACAAGCTATAGAGTAACAGACACCAGGAATTTATCTACCAATAATACTAGACCTAGGTGTCCTACTTTCTGTTGATGTATCTGTAAGCTCCAGACACACGTTTCCACCTGATGTGGTACACAGAAGGACAAATATGACGTCATTTTGTGGTTACAAATATCATGCTGACTAACTGTAGCTCGGGTGATACAAAAGATGAATTCTACTGAAAACTATCCAGTCTACTGAAAAAAGCTAAACATTCACACTGTTGCCATCGTACGCGAAGTCTGTCAGAAAGACACTTTTATGACACTTAAGGAGTCCCCGACTAACTAACTGGTCGTTCATTGAAACTGAGTTCAGAAAACCAGTTGTTGCTAACTTTAGGCAAACAGGGAAGACATTGAATAACATGTCAACCATAAAAACAAACCTGACTATGTACCATAATACTGTTAGTTAACATCAGAGATACTAAGTGAGGCGGAGTGCTCTTTCAACTGAATTAGTGCGTCAATAATGATCACCTGGAAGTTTGTGCGGAGAGTTTCCTGTGACTTAACAGACACAAGGAAGTGAATAAAAGATCTTCATGAGTTCACATTGATAATGACATTATCAAAATTATATTTGAAAGAGAAATGTTAGGGAAAGCGAAAACAGCTTGATTTTAGACGAACAAATGGCTCATACAATTAACATGAACAAGGAAAACCAAACAGAGTAAGAAATCAGCGTCTACATGTTCATTAAAGAGATTGAGCTTTAAATCGAGAAGGAAGCATCAGTTATTCAGTTATTACGAAGTCCACTGGAACAATGACCATAACAATTTAAAGAGCAAAAGAAGTGAACTTTAAATACTTTTCAGATGTCTAGTATCCTATAAAAGCCTGAATGGAATATTCGCACACAATATTCATTTCTTAAGGAAATCCAGACAAATGTAAGTGATCTTAAATGGTGGAAAGGAAAGTTGGATGCACTGTATCTTAGTAGCCCTTAATGATGGTGGGTCAAGACTATTGATTAAACTGACAGAGATTTTAGCTAAAGTATAGGAGTCAGATAACCTCGCCTAGACTACTAGCTTGCTAGTTATCTAGTCGGTCCCAAGCCCGGATAAAGAGGGAGAGTTGGGGCGTGGTGTTAGCAACTCCACCCCCAAAACTTAACCAAACCGTTACAGAAACTTCAATGCACGAATATATTAAAAATTCCCCTGAGGACACTATATCAGATAACCAAGTCTCTATCCGGGTAGAGATCAACACAAGCGAAACCTATAAAAGACAGTCGAGGGAACCCAATTACCAAGGAAGAAAGACAGATTAAACAGGGGGGTGGATCACTTCAAAGGACTCTTGAACCGACCGCCACCTGCAACCCGTCCAGAAATACCAACAACAACGCGCACACAACTGCAAGTCGACACCAATCCTTCAACGAAAGCTGAATTCTTGAACGCGATCAAGCTTCTGAAAGCTGGAAAAGCAGCTAGACCAGATGGAATACCTCCTGAAGCACTGAAAGTGAACCCAGAGACGACAGCAAATATGCTGACTCCATTATTGCAAAAGGTCTGGATGGGGGGAAAGGTGCCTACTGACTGGAGGAAAGGTTACCTCGTGAAACTACCAAAGAAGGGAGACTTAGGCCTCACTCTGCAAGAACTGGCGAGGAATCACGCTTCTATCGACGCCAAGTAAAATCCTGAGTCGCATCATCCTGGAGAGAATAAAGGACGCACTGGATACAGAACTCCGCCCCACCGGAACAAGCTGGATTCAGGAAAGGTGAATCATGTTCTGACCGAATTCCAACTCTATGCATCATCATCACAGAACAAAGCATGGAATGGCAATCAAACCTCTACCTCAACTTTATAGACTTTAGGAAGGCCTTCGACAGCGTTGACCAAGAAGTAATTTGGAAACAACTCGAGTACTAAGGTGTCCAAGGGTGACATGGAGGAGATCGTGCGAAGAGGAGCTGAAACAGTATGGACTAACATGGATGCAGGTGAAAAGTACAGCAAAAGACAGAAGCAAGTGGAGACGTGCAGTTGAAGCCCTATGTACCACTAAGGAACCCAAGGGAATAATAATAAATAATAATAATAATAGGAGTCAGATATAGCTCCACCTACGATTATATCAATCACTGAAACGATATTTGCATGCGTATTATTAAAAAATTAGTTTTAATAACTTACCCATGAAGAAAAAAGAATCACTGAACCAAGTAGTAAAGGGACTAAAAATATTCCAACTGAATAACGTACTACTTGTACGGCTACGGTTAAAGATAGCGCACCGAGAATAAATGCACAATGAGCATATTTCATAGGTAAAGCAGCTGCTGTTAATATACTAATCCATATGGAGAAAATGCCACCGAAAAAATCACAAAATGATAGTGTATCCACCGGTAGAACACAAATAGGTGAAGCGAATTGTGAATAAGCAAATGCTTTTTTAATTGGTATATTCATTTTTAATCCAATATCTGTTGATTGATGCAGAATAGTACCATCAAAACCTGGAGTATGCATTACAGTATAACCTGGTATCAGATTAGAGTCGGTATCACATATATGATAGAGCTATTGAAAAAAGAAATACAGAGTGAACAGAGGATTATATGGAAAGTTATATATATATATATATATATATGCATTGGTCACTTAAGAGCAATAAATCTCACTTTTTTAAGTTCTACACATCAAGGGAGCTTTCCAGATCGTCTGCATAATATAGTCGAGAGGTGCTATGTTGGCCGCTAAATAATTATAGGCAATATGCAAAAACCAAGTTATCTAAGCATCGAGTGTGTTAACACCTGTCAATGAAGGACATATGCAAAGCTAAGGCAATGATTTCCTGTTTCTAGGCCATCTAGTTCTTAAGCCAGAGGTTTTAACACTAAGTAGGCTATTAGGAATGTCATTAACTCTTTATTTGTGTAAAAGAAATATATTGACTAACTTTTAAAGGCCAATGAATGATAGAGAAATGAGATTTAATGGATTTATTTATACAGCATATGATAATATCCCTTTGATGTGAAGAGATAAAGAAAAAGAAAGTGTGACAGAGAGGGGGAGAAGGAGAAAAAATGATTTCATCTCTGTATGTGATACGAATTATGCATTGACATTATCTCATGTATACAAATCTTAGCTGCTGGCGAAAAAATGATATACTCACTCCCTTTAAAAATAACACATAGAGTGTAATTGTTAATGTACAGTGAAAAGTATAATAATTAGCATACAAATCACATTAAACAACGAACATCTAGAAAAAGTATGAATGGTATATTTGAAAATGTTATATCTTCATACTTAACAATTCTGGCCATCACTTTAAAACAATAATGTGACATATAATAACAAACTAATAAGGTTACTTCATGAAGTCATAAAATAAATAACATCGACTGTAGTCAGAGTTTTAATTTTGATAAGAGATAATCCCACTTTAGTTTCATCTCAGCTGTAGATGTTTATTCTTACTAAAATAATAAAATAGTCATAAACCAATGAAAACTAGTGCTCTCTGGGGAATCAGCTTCAATAATTTACTAGATAGATTCTAATACCCCACGGTCACATCAAAGTTAAGTGAGATCGGGAAAGAATAAAAGAGACGAGGGTGATTCCACCGGATCTTCACGCCTCAGCATTTTCTAAAACGCAGGCATACTTCTTGATGTCCAACTCTTTCAGTATTCAAGTGTTGGTTTGTAGGGATTTGATTGGTTACAGGATTTCATCATGAGCTGACATTAGAGAGAACCATTGGAAAACCTGAGAGTACTGAACAGCTGTCTTGTCCTAGTTTGGGACTCTTCATCAGTACTCACCCACCGACACGGTTCGAATCCAGGACCTTCTGGTTACAAGGCGAGCTAGCTCGAAGACCATTAAGCCATTGGGACCTGATCCAATGGCCCATGAATTCCAAATTCTGACAATTCACGATGTAGCGCAACCGCTAGCCAATGTCTTCGGCGAGTATTTGTCCTCACACCCGACCTGCTGCACCCTACTGGTCACGACTTCCTACTGGAACCCCAGGTAACTACTTACCTGAATAGGGCCAGTCGCCAGTGAGCATCTTTCAGTATTGGTTTTTTTTTAAGTCGGAATTTCAATGTAACGACTAGTAAGTATTGTAGCAATTTCTAACTATGAAGGAAACCTTATTATGTCAACCAGGAGATTCGTTTTAGAATCAGCTCACTCAGAGGAATAAAGTGGTCGGAAGTAACGACAGCTAGTGTTGGCGGTCAAGACATGCCCAATGTCAACATTTCCATTTGATTTTATCGTATGTACTGCTGTTGGATGCAGTTATAATGGACTTCAACATCGCAAAAATTGACTTGCCATCAGGAAAATTTTCACTTAATCAAACAGTGTAAACGACATAATACTTTTAGGCGAAGATGCTGATGAAGAAGACTCAGTCTTCTGAACACCCTGAGAAGAAATCAGAATGTGTTTAACGTGTAATTTTCTCCTGTTACATTTAAGAAGACGCTACAAGACTGGTTTGCACTTCTGGTTTGGATATATTGAATAATGCACTTGCTTACTGGCATCAACTCTAATGGACTCGTTGCTGGCGTAATCCCAGCACAGATACAAAAGGCTTTTCGCCCATTGAGATGGCTAAGATACGTAATAACATACCAACAAACCACGTTCCTCCAACAGTAAGGTTTTCTGAAGTAAAATAAGGTCAATAACAGTCATACATACATCAGTCGGTGAAACCACTGATTGTTAGTGTGAACTGCAGAGATAGGTATATGTTGCCTGGATGGAGCATTTAGGATGCAATAAATATACAGTTAAAGTTTATTAGAGAAATGGTTGGAAATCATCCTCATTGGCATCGACATTTTCAAGCTTTATCACTTTTCAAAATGCGAAAACGTTCAATAATCTACTCTTATGTGACTATTATTTTCATCTGTTACACTATCATCTTACACAAGCTCATCCTATCCATAAAATATGCAGAAGTATACAAAGAATACTCTATGAAATAAAGACAAGCTGTCTAGTGTAATGTAATTAACTAACTGAATGTATTGTCAATGTAGCACTTTACACGAACGCCTAGCAGTTCATATTAGCCAATCTTCAGATAGCACACAAAAGTAGGGAATAAAAGAAATCTTTAAAAAAAAGAGCAACAAGAAAGAACAGTTTCATAGAGAATAGTGATAAAATAATGGGTATAAGAATTCTCAATGGGCAAATGCATCTGCATTATTGTCATCAACAATCTTGTGCCACTGGATCTAAGTGATTCAACAAATCACTACTCACTGTGTAGCTCAAGCCACAGTAGGACACAGACTTCATGGATTGATAGTGCATTATTATTTGACCAGCCCTAAGTTTCCCCCCAATTCAATCCTACATCGAAGGACATCGCTTGACAAAGAGGACAATGAATTGAAATGAGATATTAAAAAACTCTCTGTGATCATAATATAAATGAAACTTTTAGGCGCCTACTACAATAGGCAAAAATTGAATAAAGAGGATACGCATATATATATATATATATATATATATATATATATATATAAACTTATCAGGATGAAGTTGGTTACAAAGCAGACTGTTATTCATGAATACATCTAAATTCAATCGACAGAGAGAGAGAGAGAAAAGAAAGAACGAGGTAGGATAAAGACCAAAAAGGCATGTTTTATGCAAGAATAGAAATTAAACAAGAAACAAAACTGACTAAATATAAACTCCTTAAATTTCAGAGGGGATAAAAGAGAAGAAATCAATAATCGAAACAAACTTCTGATACAATACACAACACAACATACTAAAACTCAGACAGCAGAAGATATAAAATCTAAAACAAAAGAAGCTACCAGAATAGAAAAAAGGTTGGTTTTGACTTCCCAGTAGACATAAATACACGCATAGGCTAAGACACTTAAATTTGCTTGCAAACAATGGAACAGATTTGAGTGGCATTGTAATCAAGAAAGCCTGCTTAATTCTGTTCGCCTAAAAAAAGGGAAATATGATTGAGACGAGAAACTAAACGCCCAGTTTAAGCTAAAAAAAAGAATGCCCTACAATTTTTCCTCAAGGATTGATTAGTTAGTCAGCTGATGAGCGGAGAAACCTGTCAGGCAAAGATCTCTTTTTTGTATTCATTAATTTAATGTTTATATATATATATATATATATATATGTATGATAGTCGATTTAGAAAATATCCTAAACTGACCTTAAAAGGATTGATCAGTATTCAGGTAACAGTTCGTTTTAGAAATAAAGCAAAAAAGATATCGGGATAAACACACATCTCTGATGCTTCTACCAGTTATTGTTAAACAAACAAAAGGATATATCCATTATGAAAAGGCCAAACAGACAGTATAAGATTAAATTTGAAACAAGAATGCTTCGTATGCTGAATTATCGAGAAGGGATTTTATTAAAACAGAGACATATACATATATCACTGAAAAATCTAGGTCTTATATTTCCCAGCAGATAGGCTAGCTGAAAGATGCAGGATGGCTGGGTCACTTAGGTCCCATATTATAAATCGAAATTTGCTTAAGTGAGAGAGGTTCTAGGCGACCAATTGGCATCGATTGTTCGCATACATCCATACCTTCTTTATTATTATTATTCATTTGGATTCCGAGTTGGAACACAGCGCTTCAACACCACATCTCAATTTATCCTATCCTCCTTAACTAGCTTCAGAATTGCCCAAAGGCTCTCATCTCCTCCTCACATGATCTCCTTCATGTCACCCTCGGACCCATGCCCAACTTGTTGTTTACCACCCGACTTCCACTGGAGTGCCTGGAGCGCGATGTTACTCAACAGTCTCCTCATCGTATTTCAAATCGATTTCCATTTTCTTCAGTATATTTGTTAGACGATAGGTTCATGGTCGGTTTGTTCCCAGAATTCCTTGTTCCTAACGGTAATAGCACCTAAACAATTTTCCCGTCTTTTATTACCACTGAAAGTAATGTATGTGCTTTGTATGTTTACAAATATCCCATTGGAGGAAACAATACAAATTATATGTCAACATGCCGAACTTCTTCCTCTGCCCAAGAACGAACTCAAACAACTTTTACTTATGTGTACCAAAGACGTACAGTTCCAGTTCAACAACACGCTATACCACCAAATTGACGGAGTCGCCATGGGAAGCCTCCTGGGTCCGATACTGACAGATATTTTATGGGTAGTCTAGAACAAACAAGGTTAAAATCCGAAATCAGCCAGACAAACCTCTATACCAGGTATGTCGATGACACCTTCGTTATCTGTAATTCTTTCAATGATGCATCACAAGTATTAAAACTCTTGAACAGCGCCCACCCTAATATTAAGTTTACAATGGAGTATGAAAAAAAAAAGAAGTTCCATTTCCTGGACTTGGGTATCCAACGAGATAAAGACGGAAAAATCATAAGATATATACACAGAAAAGAGACCTGGAGGGCGGTTTATCTTAACTTCAAAAGCTTTTGCCCTATAAGTTACAAAAAGGGATTGGTGAGAACATTATTTGATCGTGTGAGGAAACT